CACCTTATCTGTCAGTGAGGGGCTGGATGGGTTGGTGGCTACAGGCTCTCTGAGAGTTTAGCTCTCACGGTCTCATGGTCCCACCCCAATCCTCTTTCCTTGAGAGGCTGAGATATACCAAAGCAAGACCCTGCTGCTTTCTGACAGGTGACTTAATAGAGGAAGCATTGTCAGAGGTAAGTGGTCTAAGAGATACAATTCATTAGAGTTTCATTAGGACTTCTTCTCGTTTGATTACTTCTTCAAAAAATAATTTGATCGTCAGCGTGACTGCCTTAGTGTGTGGATCTCGTACATGCTGAGAAGACGTGGTTGAAAAATGCCTTCATTTACTACCAGGTGCTTTCAGTTTTCATCTGTGGATGTCTTCCTGCAGCCTCTCCATCACTGAAATGCTTCCCTATCTCAGAAGGAGGATTTAGGATCTTGGTTCTTCTATGTCCCTGACTGAATTCATTATCTCCATTTCCCTCCTCTACCTAAGCTAGCTCCTCACCTGTCCTCTCAATCCTAGTTCATAGCCCTACATAGCTTGAAAACTCGGGATCAGTCTTAATTCTTCACACTGCATCTATATCCACAGCCAGCCCATCCTGTTGATTGTTCCTTGAAAGGGTCCCATTTTCTCCATTCTCTTGGGGTCTTTGTTTCTCATCTGAAGGTTACATTGGCCTCTTTGCTGGTCTCCTAGACTCCTATCCCTTTACTGTTCACTTCATCCTCCACATTTCAGCCAGAGTGACCTTCCAGAACACATGTAGGACCCTACCATTCTCCTCTTCAAAAATCATCAATGGCTCCCAGTTACTTATCTACATGAACATTTCCCAGTCTGTTTCTTGGAACACCAAATTGTTGCCATTGAGTCAATTCTGATGCATGGCGACCCCACATGTTACAGAGTAGAACTGATTCATAGAGTTTTCGTGACTATAATCTTTATGGGAGGAGTCCTGGTGGCACAGTGGTTAAAGTGCTCAGCTGCTAACCGAAAGGTTGGCTGTTCAAACCCACCAGCTTCTTCGTGGGAGAAAGATGTGACAGTCTGCTTTTGTAAAGATTTACAGCCTTGGAAACTATATGGGACAGTTCTACTCTGTCCTGTAGAGTCACTACGAGTTGGAATCTACTCAACGGCAGTGGGTTTTGGTTTGGTTCTTCCACTGGGCAACAAGGAGACCAGTGTGGCTGGAGTGAGTAAGCAAGGGGGAGAGAGCAGGAAATGAGATCAGAGGTACAAGATCACATGGATTCTTGGAATTCCCATTGGGTCTGTTTCTTTGGTTTGTTGTTTCTCTCTCTCTCTCTTATTTTAATCACATTGTCTTATCTTCTTGCATGCCTGATTATATTTTATTGCATGCTAGACATAGTATATAAGAAAATATGTAGAGAAAATTTGAGCTTAGGCTAATATTTTTCTCCTCAAAAAAAAAAAAAATGCCTTCAAGTTGATTCCAACTCATAGTGAACCTTTCCAAGGAGCGCCTGGTGGATTCAAACTGCTGACCTGTTGGTTAGCAGCCAGACTCTTAACCAGTACGCCACCAGGGTTTCATTTGCTTCTAAGATAGCATGTAGGGCACTAGCAACCTGGATCATCTGAATCCAGTTGAAGATTGAGATGATTTGATGTTGGGCTTTAATCTTTGCAAGAGTCATCCCATTTCCAGTTCATCCCTACTCCTAGGGAACTTCCTGTGTTCCATAAAGTATGCTAAGTGCTTTGCATGCCATGTCCCAGCATTTCCTCATAAGAACCCTGTGAGATAGCTATCATTACCTTCATTTTCCAAATGATGGAACTGAGACTCAGAGACACAGATTAACTTTTACAAGTCCACACAGCTAGTAAGTGATGGAGCCCAGGCCCAGTCCCTAACCACTGAGCTGAGTAAGAGGTATAATACAAGTGTAGTTAATGGGCTGAGGGGGGCAGAGAAAGGAGGTAGGTGGTATGGTTTCCTAGTGCTGCTATAACAGAAATACGGGCTAGGAGTTACAATACATATTTTGGGGGCACACAATGCAACCCATAACTGAAGGCCTCTGACAGTGATTTTCCAGCTGGGCAGGGCTGGAATATGCATGACTCTGATCTGTGTGACTCCTTAATTACATTTCACACCCTAGATGCCTCACTCACCTCACCCTAGTCCTGCCCCTGCAGTTGGGCCTCCATTGAGGGCCTGTTATTTTGTCTCCACTGGTATTACTAGAGGAGCCCTGGTTGCACAGTGGTTAAAGTGCTCAGCTGCTAACTGAAACTTTGTCGGTTTGAACCCACCACCGCTCTGTGGGAGAAAGACGTGGCAGTCTGCTGCCCTAAAGTTTCACAGCCTTGGAAACCCTATGGGGCAGTTCTACTCTGTCCTATAGGGTCACTATGGGTCAGAATCAACTCGACAGCAGTGAGTTAGGTTTTTGGCGTCCTGCCTACCCCTGATTATTACCCTCATAGCACTCCCTTATTTTCCCCCGGTGCATGCGCTGAATAAAGGAGCCCTGTGGCACAGTGGTTAAGCACTTGGCTGCTAATTGAAAATTCAGCCGTTGGAACCCACCATCCACTCCACAGGAGAAAGCTGTGGCAGCGTGCTTCCGTAAAGATTACAGCCTTGGAAACCCTATGGGGCAATTCTACTCTGTCCTGTAGGGTTGCTATGAGTCAGAATCAACTGGACAGCAACAGGTATACCTGAGTAATTGAACACGATGTGGTTTTATAGGCCAGCAGTTGACCCATTCCACTGTGAAAAATGCTTAATCTTGGCTGGGAGCATAGTTGCCCAGTCTCCTCTGTGCTGTAGGACCCTGCAGGGGCTGTGTTGGACTCTTCAGGGCTTCTTTCAGGCACTCAGGGAGCAAAGGCTTTTCAGGGCACTTCCCAGGCCGACACTCTGGCAGCCCCAGGATAAGGAAAGGTATGGTGCTTTTTAAAAAGTACGCCCAGAGGCTGTCTCTCCTGTGCCATGTGGCAGCTGTTTGTGGCTTTATCTTTGGAGCCAGAGGGGGAATTTGCTTTCTCAATGAGGCAGGGTTTCACAGGCTGAATTGCTCAACTCTTTGCTTCAGGCGGTGTTGGGTATGCACCCTCATCCCTTCTCAGCTCCTTTATCTGATCTGGTTTGTTCTGCAGCTTCATTATCTCTAGCTTACTTGGCATTTGCGATGTCTACTCTCTCTTCCTTTCTGAGCTTTCTTCTAATTAGCTTACCCACAGCTGCCGTTGCCAAGTAGACTATGTCTGTGACAGACAAGGGTGATATGTTTGCACTTGGCAGGTTTTGATGAGCAATTAGGCTTTTTCTAGCATATGGAGCTAATGTATCTGTCAGTCAGTAAACATTTATCAAGAGCCCACTGTATCTGGAGCATTGCTTGAGGGGCTTTGAGAATGAAAATAAGTCAACAAAGCCTTCTTCTAGGCCAAGTCTCTGTGTAAATTGTTCAGACAGACAAATAACCCCAGCGAGGAGAATGGCCTGCTCCAAAGCAATGTTTAATAGAGCATCCTGCTCCTGAGGGGATGTAGGGATTATCTTGTCCAATATCAAGACCCCTGGGTGGAGCAAACAGTTTGCACTCAACTACTAAGTGAAAGATTGACGGTTCGGACCCACTCAACAGTGCCACGGAAGAAAGGCCTGGTCTTCTCCTTCCATAAAGATTACAGCCAAGAAAACCCCATGAAGCAGTTCTTTTTTTTTTTTTTTAAATTTTATTGTGCATTAGGTGAAAGTTTACAGTGCAAAGTAGTTTCTTATTCAAAAATTTACACGCAGATTTTTTTTTGTGACATTGGTTGCAATCCCCACAATGTTTCAGCACTCTCTCCCTTTCCTACCTGGGTTCCCCGTGTCCATTCATCCAGTTTTCCTGTCCCTTCCTGCCTTCTCGTCTTGCCTTTGGGCAGGAGTTGCCCATTTGAGCTCATATACTTGATTAAACTAAGAAGCACATTCCTCACTTGTGTTACCCTTTGTTTTATAGGCCTGTCTAATCTTTGGCTGAAAGGTGGACTTCAGGAGTGGTTTCAGTTCTGAGTTAACAGGGTGTCTGGCGTATGGAGCAGTTCTACTCTGCAATGTATGGGGTCGCCAAGAATCGGAATGGACTCAACAGCAGTGAGTTTGGTGTTTCGGTTTTGGTGCGGCATCTGAGACCCGAGGCTCAAAGGCTGGTTTTGTGCCGGGTCACACAGTGGAGCCCGGTTTCCTGACTCATCACTGGCCTCTTCGCTAAGTCTCTGCAGAGGGTGCACTGCACTCACAGGACCTTTGGGCAGGGGACTAGCCACAGTGGCCAGGGCCAAATCCAAGATGGCATCTTGAAAGACGTTGTCTCAAGCCAGGTCTTGAAGGCAGTGAGGGCTGACATAAACAGTGAGAATGATCCTTTTCTTAGTAGAACTAAATCCTTTGTGTGAGAGTTCAGTAAAGTACCATGATTGCCCTCCTGCAGTTCCATTAATCAAAAATGCACAAGAAATAATACTATTTCATCTCAGAGTTCCACCTTCAAAAGACTTCATTTTCTGTTTCACTGATTAAGATGTAGTCTCTGCTGTGGTTTAATATGAATCTCTTTTGTAGCCGGCATTATGGCTTTTCTGGGAATCTTGAGAAGCTGGAAGTAGGAGAACAGTTGAGGCTCAAAGTTCAGTATCAACCAGAGATCCTTCCCCATTCCACTGCTGTAGTTCCTCCGAAATCTTATCAAGTTTGAGGGTTTATCCATATGTCTTTTTCTCTCCTCTCTGTCCTGTGAGCTGACTGAAAGCCATGTCTTATTAACCTCTTGGTGCATAAATATTCAATAAATGTTGATTATCCTTGCAAATTAATGCCTTTTCCCATTAATAAATAATTAAATGTGGTGAAGTGCGTGGTCGTTGTTAACGAAACAGTGAACAGCTTACTGAAAAGACAATTGCAGGACTGTTAGTCTTCCAGGCTTCTGCTCTCCAAACTTCTAACCAGCACTTGTTTGTGTGGTAGGTCCCTCCATCTGGGCTGCAAGGGCTCCCTCCCGTTGACCCACCTGACGTCACCCAGATCTACCCGGTTCCTGCCAACATTCGGCCCGTGCTGAGTAAATACAGAGTGGAGGTATGGGGCAAGGAAGAATCGAGTTGTTCTTTGGGATTAAAGGACAGCAGACCTGCCTTCTTTGTATGAGGGGCACCAAGGGATGGGCAGAAACCTAGAGCTAAACACCTCCTAGCTCGCTCATGACCAAACAGAGCCCCCATGGCGCTGCCCAGCTCTTTCCTGGAAGAACACTGTTCAGTCTCCAGGAAGATGTCTGACTTCCACCCCAAGGCCTGGGCACTCATGCTGGCTCTCCTTGGGTCTTTGAGTGATGCCTCTGCTGGTCCTCTCCTCAGGTTCTCTTCTGGGGAGTCCGAGAAATGAAGAAGGTGCAGCTTCTCTCAGTGGATCGGCCTCAGGTTCTCATCGAGTGTGGGGGGAAAGGAGTCAAGTCCTGCGTGATCCAGAGCTACAAGAACAACCCCAACTTCAGCGTCCAGGCAGACACCTTTGAAGTGGTGCGAGCCTCTCCACCTCCCGCCTGCTCTTGACCTGCCCCTTTCCCAGATGGGGCCACTAGTTCAGTAACTTGGCGTGGGGAGTTATGCTGGAGCTTCAGATGTCTACAAGAAAGAGCAGTCTAACTTAGTGAAAAGCCAGAATTCAGAATGGGATAAGATAGATTTTTGTTTTTGTAGTTTGGTTTGTTTTTTTAAAGATTTCAAGTGCAGATTATACAGTAAATCAAAGCAAGTTGACTAAGTGTTGTGTAGACCAGTGAGTGGTGGTCCTAGCATCAGCATCACCTGGGAACTTGTTAGAAATGCAAATTCTCAGACACTATGCCAGTCTTAAAGAGCCCTTGGTGGTGCAATGGTTAAGCGCTTGGCTGTGATTCAAACTCACCAGCTGCTCTGGGAGAAAAGATCCTGTGATCTCCTTCTGTAAAGATTACAGCCCAGGAAACTCTATGGGGAAGTTCTAAACTCTATCCTATAGGGCCACTATGAGTCAGAATAGACTCAACAGCACACAGCAACAGCATGCCAATCCTACTGAATCAGAAACTGTTGGATATGAGGCCAGGAATCTCTGGTTTAACAATTTCTCCAGGGGATTCTGATACACGCTAACATTGGAGAACCACTGGCTTAGAAGATATCCTAACAAGACTGATTTTAATGGTTAGATTTTAAAAAATTGTTTGTACTGAGCACGTCAGTAGTTTACAGGTGAACTTACGCTTCTAAAGTGATGTTTTTTGACCCCCATGCTTTTTGTTTATTTCAACATTTCAACATTCCCTTGCAATACTTTCTGTGCTCTAATTTGAAACAAACTATGAAGAAAAAGTTTGCTTTGTCCAACCCAGTGAGCTCCAATGGACACATGATTCTAGAAAGACTAGAATGAAAGAATGTGCAGTGTTTGCAAACCTTTCGTACCGGACTTCATTGTTTCACACGTTGGGCCTGGTTAGACTTTTGTTGGAGGCGAGAGTTCTGCTAGTAAATAATGAAGAGATAAGAAGACTGGAAACTACGGCCATAGAGAATATGGAAGTGTGTGGTTTTGAAATTTAAACCTGGGATGAAGTGTTAGGAAGACATCCCTGATGTTGTAGTTAGTTGCCATCAAGTCGACTCTGACTCATGGCGACCACACTTGTGCAGAGTAGAACAGCTCCAGAACATTTTCAAGGCTGTGACCTTTTTGAAGCAAATCACCAGGGTTTTCTTCCAAGGTGCCTCTGGGTAGGTTCGAACCGCCAACCTTTTGTCTAGTTGTCGAGCGCTTAACCGTGTATGCCACCCAGAGACTCCCTCATATTTTAGGTAGCTACTCCTTGGGCCCAGAAGACAATGTAGACAAGCAGCAAGTGTGGCCTGGAGGGATAGAATGGCAAGCAGGGACTGAGGGAGCGTGGGTGCTGGCCGACTTTGGTCCTGTCTCACAGACAGAGCAGCAGGGCCTCAGCCACCAGGCCTACCCCAGGCAGGGCCCATGCTTCCTTCCCGCAACCCTTGCTGAGTGCTGCCCTCTCTCCCCAGGAGCTGCCTGAGAACGAGCTTCTGCATCCGCCCCTGAGCATCTGCGTGGTGGACTGGAGAGCTTTTGGGAGGAGCACCCTGGTGGGCACTTACACTGTCAATTGCCTGAAGCAGTTTTTGTGCAAATCCAGGGATCCCCCTGCCCTCATCTCGCAGGTGGACGGAGCCCAAGTTGGGCAAGGTAGGAAGTGCTCCTAGATTCTGGGCTGCAGACTATAAAGCAGTGGTGCCCACACAGTGCCTACTACAGGACCTGGCACGAAGGAGATGCCACCCCCCACTCCCAACAGTGATCTTCCTGAAGAATTTGCTTCTGCGATCCCTTCTGCCTTCTTTAGTGCCAAACTCTTACCTTAAGACTCACATCAGGATCAACTCCTGAGAAGCCTTCCTTGAATCTGCCTTGTGACTTTGCCTAGTGCCTCATGGTGTTTCACTGGGGCTCACTTTGGATGTCAGGTGCAGAGTTAATTGCCTTTCTTAGTTTCTGCGGTACAGTCATCCCTGGGCTGTTCAAGGCATCTTCTCGTTATAGTCAACTTCCCATCATGCCTTTTTCCTTATCTCTACTCTCGGTCTGCTCCTTACAGTCTGGGCCCCACACTGCCAATCCTTATGAAATGTGTGAGTGTGTCTTTAATTTACATAACTGATGTTGTGCTATAATCTTCATTTAGTTTCTTATTCTTTCTCGTTCAATGCTTATGTTGTAAGATCTATCCATATTGCTGTGTGTACATTAGCTTCTTACCACTACCTGCTGCCTCTGCTGTTTATTTTCCTTTTCCCCTAGTGTCGGGCCATAGGTTGTCTCCAACTCCCCAATATTGTGATGAATATCCTTGCGTGTGTTCCCTGAACTAGCATCCTGTGTGGGAATTTCTCCAGAATATACACCCAAGGGTGAGACTGCTGGGTCACAGGGAATCTGTATTAAGTATTGCCAAAGGGCACTCCAGATGGCTCTACCAGGTTACACCAGTCTGCATAATGCAGTGGTTAGGTGCTCAGCAGCTAACCAAAAGGTTGATGGTTGGACCCTACCAGCCGCAACGCAAGAGAAAGATGTGGCAGTCTGCTTCCGTAAAGATTTACAGCCTTGGAAACCCTATGGGGCAGTTCTACTCTGTCCTACGGGGTCACTATGAGTCAGAATAGACTCGACAGCAATGGGTTCACCAGTCTACACGAGTCTGCACCAGCCTAACCAGTCTCCACTCCTACCAGCGGTGCATTCACAGCCCCATCTTCCTCTCCTTCAACAGCACCTGCTAGTATCCAACTTTCTGGGGTTTTGTTTTGGTTTGATTTTTGGGTTTTGCCACTCTGATGGGTATAAAGTTGCATCTCTTTTTTAAATTAGCTTGGATTTCTCGATTGCTAGTAAGTTTGCACAACTCTGCACATGTTTGCTGCCAATATTAATTTTCCCTTCTGTGATTTGCCTGTTCATATCCTTTGCCTATGTTTTATGTCTTTCCTTAATTTTCTGTTTGATTCATGAGTTCGTTGCCTATTCTAGATGTTCTCACCCTATAGATTATAAATATTGCTTATATCTTTTTCTAGTGCTAACCTTGTCTACGGTCACTCATCTTTCAGCAGAAATCCTCAATTTTGTTGGAATCAAATCCATCTGTGTTTTAAACTTTATGGTTTGTACTTTTGAAGGTCTTGTTTAAGAAAGCCTTTTTCACCCCCACAAAGATATGATCTTATATTTTATTCCATTAGCTTTATGGTTTTACATTTCACATTTAGATCTTTAATCCAGCTGCATTTGTATATGGTTTAAGCTAGGGATCTGGCTGTGTTTTTTTCCATATAGGACACCGTTGTTTCTCCAAAGAGTCTACAGACCAGTCATTCCTTTCTCCACTGGTTTGTACTGTCATCTTTCTCATAAATCAAGGTGCTGTGCATCCTGGCCTATTCTGAGCTTTCTATTCTGTCCATTCATCTCTCCATCTCTGTGCCCAGCATAGAAACTGATGCCTATAAGTATTTGTTGGGTTGAATTCGCTGTTGAAAAGTCAGCAACTGGGGGAGAGAAACTCTGGAGGCCATCACAGCCAGGGAGGCCCCAGACTGGGAATACTTGTGTATCCTGAATTCCACAGCTCAAACTCAAGTGAAGAAGACCCTTGGCAGTTGTGACCTTTTTATTGGATCCATAGCCCAGTTAAGAATCTCATGAAATCCCTGCCAAGCACATGGACTCATGCCCAGAGTTCTGCCTACACCTGGGGAGTTCACGGACCTCTGGAGCCTCCAGGGCTCCCTGAGTTAACCCATGGGGGAAGGCAATCAACACAAGGGACCTGTGCCCTAAAGCTAGATTTACATGGTCCTGATGACCATGATTGATTAAAATTATTCTGAGGGATAAATAACAAGTACAACCACTTATTGATTACCTTTTATGTGCCAGACACCTTACATCATGATCTTATTTAATTCCCCAGTGAGCTGGCTATTCTCACTGTCATTTTCTAAATGAGGATAGTGAGGTTCGGAGATGTTAGGACCTTCCCGGATTTGTACCCAGATCTGTCCAATTCCCTGTATTGGGCCCTTAGATGACTACCCTATACTGTGGCCTTGGTTGCCTGACCTGACTGCTATCATTTCAGATATTTCAGATTCACTAACAGCCACTGGGCCCCTCCAGCCTCTCAGCTCCTCTCAGGAGCCCCCGACATATCACGTCTATGTGGATATTGAGCCGCCTCCCACAGTCGTGCCTGACTCTGCCCAGGTTCAGCAGGCCAGCCTGGTTGACATCCCTGATTCATCCCTTAACCTGGAGCCTGAACTCAAGTCTGCAGCCCCGAGACCACCCAAAGATGAAAAAACTGAGGTCAGAATGTAATTCCCTCATCGTATTTGCAAGGCTCGTTAGCATTTGCATTGGATGTTGTAGACACTAATCCTCCTACCTACTCGCTGTGTGAGCTTAGGCAAGCAACTTCACACTTCTGAGCATCAGTGTCCTCGTCTGTAAAATGGGGATACTAACATCCACTTCACAGCACTATTGTTAAGATCAGATACATCAATGTATATGAAATTAAAGTGTTAGTCAAATGTGAGGACAATATTTAATTAAACAGAAATTCTTCCGAATTTTTTAGCTTGGAAAGACAATGGTTTCTTCATCCGAGGCTATTCCACAAATATTTTGAACCTACTTTGTGCAAGGTCATGTGGGACCAAAAGGTTGTGTCTTCTGGATTCTAAAGAGGAGTAGACAGACTCCTTGTCCTCAGTTAGCTGAGACTCTGATAGGGGAGACGGACAAGTACGCAAAAAAACATAAACAAGGATATGATTAATGTGTCGACGTCATAAATTTGAATACAAAATCCTGGCGAATCAATTAAATTAAAGGAGGAGGTAGTTTTAAGAAAGTCCTAAGGAACTGCTAAAGGCTGAAATAAAAAGCCAAACCAAAAAACAAACCAAAAAAGAGGCCATTGCCGTCAAGTCAATTCCGACTCATAGCAACCCTATAGAAAAGCGTAGAACTGCCCCATAGGGTTTCCAAGGCTGTAATCTTTACAGAAGCAGACTGCCACATCTTTCCCCAACGAGCTGCTGGTGGGTTCAAACCACCGACCTCTTAGCAGCCGAACACTTAATCATTGTGCCACCAGAGCTCCTTGAAATAAAAAGCAGAGGAAGAGAAATTAATGATATTGCTCAGGCTGTTCCTATCTCATCTGTTCTCAACGTGACCCTCTGTGACCCCGCGCCAGGTTCTCCCTGTCCCACCAGCTTTACATCTGCCACTTGATATTGGAATTCTCAGTTTAGGTGTTTGTTGGCCCCACGAAACTGTGGGGGCAGCAGGTCAGGGAAGATGTGTTGACACTTCTGTACCCCTGCAATCAGCTCAGTGCCTGGCGTATAGTAGGTGCTCAGAGATGTCCTAGAGAGTGAACGGATGGTGGGTGCATGATGCCTCTTGTCTAGGTAGCCTGTCTTCTCCCACAAATGCCTCATCCTTTTTTTTTTTTTTAATGTTGTAGTTTAAATGAAGTTTACATTTCAAGTTAGTCTCCCATACAAAAATTTATACATACATTGTTATGTGACCCTAATTGCTCTCCCCTTACTGTGACAGCACACTCTTTCTTTCCACCCCGATTCCCCATGTCCATTCAACCAGCTCCTACCCCTCTCTGCCTTCCCATCTCACCTCTGGACAGAAGCTGCCCATTTAGTCTCTTGTATCTACTTGAGCTGAGAGGCACACTCCTCACGAGTATCACTTTATGTCCCACAGTCCAGTCCAATCCCTGTCTGAAGAGTTGGCCTTGGAAATTGTTTTCAAATGCCTCATTTCTGCCATATGGGTATTGCTGCCTGCTACTACCCCATCCCATCGTGTATACTATAACCTAACCTGTTGCCATTGAGTTGATTCCAACTCATAGTGACTCTATAGGACAGAGTAGAGCTGCCCCATAGGGTCTCCAAGGAGCAGCTGGTAGATTCAAACTGCCAGCCTTTTGGTTAGCAGCTGAATGCTTAACCACTGTGCCACCAGGGCTCCCATGTATATTATAGGTGCCATTTATTTGTACCTGTTAAAATTGGAAACCGTGCTAACAGGGCTTTGCCTACATTATGTCACTCAATCCTCACAACAATGAAGTAGGCAGGTATTGTCTATTAGTTGAGGAAACTGAGAATCACAGAAATTATATTAATTGTTTATAGTTAATACTGTGCTATGATTTATCACCCAGCTCTGTCTGACGCTACTGCCCTTTCTACAGTACCACAATGTGTTACGCAGTTGGGCACTTATTTGTTACATGCCTGTCTTCTTTACTGAATTGTAAGCTCTTCCAATACGGGATTGTGTCTAATTCTCCTAACGTCCCCAAAGTAAAGCACAATATCTGACATCTGCTCGATAAAAGTTTGTTGAATGAATGAATGGAATGTTAAACTTCCATTTACTGAAATGATACAGAGAGCTGATGGCACAAAACCAACAGATACCTCCATCTGCTTCAATGGGCACCTATGTATTCTCTTCCCCAGCTAACCAATTGGCCACCAACATGGGGCTCCATGAGGCCTTGGCCAATAACCCATCCCTTGTCTCTTGCCAGGATGCCAGGAAGCCTTCCCAGAGGTCCACTAAAAGAAAGAAGAGGACCATAGCTGATGAGTCTGCTGAAAACGTTATTGACTGGTGGTCTAAGTATTACGCGTCCCTGAAGAAAGCACAGAAGGTATAGTGTCCCCTGGCTGTAACAGGAAAACACAGCAGTGTCTACTTCCCCAAATCCCATATGCCCTCCCTATCTCCACCCTCATTTTTAAATTCCTTTCTGCATAGGCCGTAGTTAGGTGTGGTTCTGTTCATTGCAGAGGGTCAAAAAGCCTGGCAGGACCAGGGACCTGGAATTTAAAAATCCCAAGTTCAGTCCAGCACCGCACCTGGAGGATCTGTCCACCAGTCTGACTCAGGGAGGTCCCAGAAGGAGAAACGGGCCCTCAGGACAGGTGGATATCAGTGATGGGGCCTCAGGTACACCTGGAGATAGCCAGGTCAAAGGGCCCCAGGCCTCTAACAGGATTCTAAGTTAATATGGGAAACCATTAAGTAAAGACAGAGGCCTTGGCCTTAGAAAAATGGGATACCTGACAGGCTGCCAAGGCAGGGCCTCATGCACAAGCAACAAGAAAGGGATTGAGCTTTAAACTGGAGAACCAGTGGGGACTGGGCCTGGGGATTCAGGCTAAAGCTCAGTGAATGAATTTGGCAACACTTCAGATCTCTGAGTGAAAAAGGAAAGGAAAATTAGAGTTATCATATTTAACTGAATAGAAACTCTTCTGATTCCTTAGTGTGGAGAGACTACATATCGTTTCTTCATCTAGCACTATTTCACAAGTATTGTGACAGACTTAAATGAACAAACCAAATATTAGTCCCTCCCCCCAACCTCTTTCCCTTTGCTGTGATGAACACTACCAATTCTGGTGAGCTTACCCTTTGTCTGCTACCCTACCCAGTCTCTGGTACCAACTCAACGACCCAATGTGCCAATAGGTAGAACTCATAATGATGGCTGCGGTGATGCTTTGGAAAGACGGCAAAAGAGTAGAGAAGAGGGGTTCTTTCCCAGTGGCTGAGAGAAGCCTGCACTCAGAGGTCCAGGAAGGCTACAGCTTGTGGCTCTTTTCCAGGATGTATGGACCCTTCTTCTCTAGGGCTGGGCCTTGCTCACAGTGTTTAGATTCCAGGTCTTTGCAGTGAGCTTTTATTTGGAGGGTCTGGGAAGGGAGAGGGGTACTGTTTTGAATTCTTTTTAAAAATGGCACCTCTGGGACTGCAGAGAGCTGGGATAATTGAGTTAGAATGGTCAGCAGTCAAGATGAATAAATTAGGCATAGCAGCATCAGTAATCTTATCTCCCTCTTTTCTCAAAAGGCAAAGGAGAGTAATCCCAACGAGAAAAAGGGCTATACCGGTAAGTGGTTGTTCTGAGGTCACTTAGACATAAAATGGGCCATTTTTGTATGAAATTTATAAAATGGAAGACATGGGCAGTCTATCAGAGCTCAATCTTCGTGTTTCCCAATGGAGGAAACACTCTCAGGAAGATGGCAAGATTTAAAAGGTCACATGGCTGGTTTGAGCTGGCTTGGGACCAGATCCCACATCTCCTGAATCCAGTTCAGTGCTGAAATTGACCCCTTGGCTCCTGTCCCTGCATTGACAATCTGAATGCAGAAACAGCAGAATAAAAATAGGAACACGCTGGGAGGACAGGCCAAAACCAACAGGATAAACTTTAAATGGAGTGCCTGCAAAGGCCTGGATTCAGGTTCCAAAACTCAGTTTACAAGGATTGGATAGATCTAGTTTGGCAGAAGCTCACACAGAAAAGGCTTGGGATTTGAAATGACCGCAAAGTAGAGTCAAGCCAACTGTAGGTCTTGGCCAAAAAACAACAGTAAACCAAGGAGCCCATGCTGTTTCAGGTGACACTGATAGAAGAAGGAAAATGAGAGCCAGGTCAGTTCTTCAGGCCACTCATAATTGCCATTTGAATTGTAAGACCAGCCCCATGGTGCAGGCAATATTACCCTCATTTTCCAGAAGATGAAACAGATGTACAAAGAGATCGAGTAACTTGACCAAGGTTACACAGCTACAAAAGAGTGGAGCTAGAAGCCCATCTCAGGCAGGTTAACTCCAGAGCCTGCCAGTAAAAAATGATTGACTAATCTCACTGTAATAGCTATAACAATAGACTCACACATAGCAATGGTCATGAAGATGGAACATTTTGTTGTTATATGTAAGGTTGCTATGAGTCGGAGACTCAATGGCAACTAACAACAAGCTCATGTGACTTTGTATAAGACCTTTAACGTTTTTGAGCCACATGTTGCTCAGTTGGGGATATACCTACTGCCCATGTCCCTAAACAGAATATGGTCTGAGAGGGAGTGTAACCACAAGCTTTGGAGTCAGCGCATACTGGGTATGTTCTTTGCTAGTTAGGTGACTTTGGGCAATCGCTTACTCTTTCTGTGCCTAGTTTAATGAACTCTTACATATATTGGGACAGGCCACAACACTGCTCAGCCCAGAGGATCCTTCCTATTACATTTCTACATGTGTGCCCAGTTTGCAGGACTACACTAGCGACCCTATGGCAAAATGTTACTATTTCTTTTTAAAAGGAAGGTTCATGACGCACGCCAGAGTGAAAGGAGAGAGAGCTTGGCTTTGCTCCTTCTAATCTCAACAGCCAAGAGACATCTAACAATTTCCTCTGAATATCCACAGAGACAAAAACAGACCAGGTGGTGGTAGATGTAGAAGATGGCCCAAAGAAGAAAGACAAAATGCTCAAGAAGCAACACAAAGAAGGTGAAATCCCCAACCTGGCGGTGTTGCAGGTGTGTGGACAAAGTCATGTCTGCCGTGGGTAGGGTGGGCAGCTCAGAACCTGGGGTTCTGCTTGGGCTTTGGTCAACTCTGTTGTTGGGTGCTCTTGAGTAGATTCCGACTCATGGCAACCCCTTGTGACAGAGTAGAACTTCCTCATAGTGTTTTCTAGTCTGTAATTTTTATGGGAGCATATCACCAGGTCTTTCTCCCGTGAAGCCGCTGGCTGGGTTTGAACTGCCAACCTTTCAGTTAGCTGTCAACTCTAGTAATGCCCTTGTTTGAACCAACTTACTTTGTCTTCATTATAATCACTGATGCACAGAAATTCATGGCAATAAAACAAGCTTGTAAGCAAAGACAATGGAGCTCGCTAATTTTCTGTTTTTTACATCCTCGTATTGTGAAGAGACATAACTTACAGTTGTTTAACCTGGCTCCGGTGTGAGAATTTACAGTCCCGTGTTCCCCTTGGCTCACCTCTTTGAGCTTGACATCATTGTGCAGAAATGTATGCACTCAAAATAGCAGGAGTTTTAACTCTAAATAAAGTCAGCTCTGTCAGACCAATCTTAACATTAGCCAGAGGCTATTAGCTAAAGGCATATTTACGATATGTAAAATAAGAATATGAAAATTGTGCATCTAGATAAGCAATTTGGATAAGTAATTTGACTAGAAAATTTGAATAAGTAATTTAATTATATTACCAAACCCAAAACTCGATTTGGTTTTACATTTCTAAAGTGGATACGACACAATTTACCGCTTGCAAAATTCATGCCTATATGCAGTATAATAAAAACAAATATTCTATCACTTTATATATGTTAATAATTAGATGCTTAATGAACATTTATTAATTTTAATTTCTTAAAAATATTATAGTCTATAGCCAATAACCAATGGCGTTAATTAGTTATAAAAAGGCTAGTAGTATTTATATCCATATATCGTACTTTTAACGTTTTGGTTTAACTATGCTTCTTGGAATTTCAAAGTTCATCAAAAAGTTTTACAAATTTCAGAGTATGCTGGGAATGGTGAACCAATCATGTGTCTTTCTTTGCTAAAGATACATTAACAGTGGTCTCATAGATTTTTTTCCCAGGGGTATATATCAAGGCTATTCCAAATACTTGGAATATCGTGGTATTTCTCATTAAATCGTTCCTGGGCCTTCCTCCCTCTTAACACAATCTTCTCCCTTCTCTCTAAAGATATACAATGGTGATCTTGAGAGTGAATTCAACAATTTTGAAGACTGGGTGAAAACCTTTGAGCTCTTCAGAGGCAAGTCTATGGAGGAGGACCAAGGCCTTGATGGAGATCGAGTCATAGGAAAGTTTAAGGTAGGCTCCAATGCTGGCCCTTTCCTTTGGCTCTCCCTGCCCATAAATGTCAGACACTACTCATCTCCGTCAGTGGGATTGTGGTGTGGGCTAGGTGTAAGGAAAATCCTTCATCTTACTCAAGACCCTTTCTAGAACCCCACAAGACCAAGCCCCAGTCTTTTGAGATATTTTCTTCTGTGGCCAGTGAAATGGGTTGGAGCTCAGTCTGGTGGAATACAAGGAGACTGGCTTGTTACCTGAAAGGACCACTGAATTTTACTTTGCTTTCCCCAACAGACTCGCCCTCACCTCCCATACCTGATATCCCAAATGTATGATTTATGCAAACTTGTCTATTGGACAATTAAACTAATCAAACAACACAGACCCTTCTTCTGGCAGATTTACGGTGTCAGCGTTACAGAGCAGTAGCTAACATTTACTATGAACCTACTCTGTAGTAGTTCAGGGTCCTTTCTATGCGTGTGGTGTGTTGGAAAGACTATGAGTGCTGTACTTTTGCCAGTCTGAATCCTAGTTATAAACTTACTAGCTGCATGATCTTGAACAGTGTACTTAACCTCCCTGACCCTCCATTGCTGCATCTGGAAGTAGGAGTACTGGGGTCAGGGTTGAATGAGATAATTGAGGGAAAGCACTAGCAAAACACCCATGTGTAGAGGGCTTTCAAGACCCCATCTGACCCTCCTGTGTGGAAGGTGTTCATATACCTGTCATCAAGGTACCATGAAGAAGCTGAGATGCAAGCAGGTTATGTGACTTGCCCAGTGATATCCAGCTGGCAAGTGTAATGCCAGCCCAGGTCCTGCTGGGACACAGCCTCTGCTCATTCTCCCAGCACTGTACCCTGCATGGTTTTTGGTGAGACCTGTGACTATCCTGTTTCAATGGGTTGCTCTTTTTGGTTCCAGGGCTCCTTCTGCATCTACAAAAGCCCTGAGGATTTCAACACCGAGGACGGTGGGCAACTAAGAATTCAGCAAGGGATCCCGCCCAACTACCCAGTCAAAGTTCTGATACGGGTGTACATTGTGGCGGTAAGCCATCCTTGTGTACTCCGAGGGGCATGGAGTTGGGTCAGCTACATGGACACTTCCTGGCTTTTCATTCAGGCTGGTGGGGAAATACTTCCCAGGCATCTAGGACTGCTCTGTGTAGCTTTCTTTGTCCTCTGCGCTTGCCTGCTGGCTGGGAAAGAAACCAAATAGGACTGAAGCAGGAAGCTCGCAGGCAAGGCAGTTAGAGGGCAGAGCCAGGGTAGAACAGGGAAGATGCCACTGTGAAATCCTTCCCTCGTGGCCATACCTCTGCACTCTTGTCAAAAATTTCATTTTGAATATATTTCTGAGAAAAATTTTATCTCCTCTAGGTTTTTACCTTTTCGATAATGAGATTAGGAAATTTAATTATAAAACTTTTTGACTTGGTTACCAGGAAGCTCAGGGTCAAATCTGATGTCCGATCAAAGCAACTGCATGAACGTTTATGGTTCATGTGTTTGTTTCCATCTCCCAACCTTGGACGTGATTTTTGTAATCTTATTTAATTGTAGCAATATTATTTTTATATTAACTCTTTGCTTAAATTGCCTACATCCTTTTTTAGAAACATAAATTAAATAAAACATAAAATAAGGATAAAGTATTCTTTAATGCTAAGAGAGAACTAAATGTTCTCCTTCTATCATGCAGTACTCATGTTCCCTCATCACTGTCAACATCACCACCACCACGTGCCAGGTGTGTTCTAATCACTAAGGATGCTGTGATAAAAAGGACAGTCTCTACTCTCAAGGAAGTCACAGTCTAGTTGAAATGTTAGAAGTGCTTGTCAAGAATCCTTGACGGTGCCAGGTAGTCTATTACTAAACACTCGTCCACAGGTGGTTTAGACTTCTCAAGTTTTGTTATGGAGGTAACTTGTATTCAAGGAGATAATAAAAAGCAATCCCCAAGAAAAAAAACAACGCCTCAAAAAACGTCAAAAAAAGGTGCAAAAAAAGGTCAATTCCCCTCCCCCAACCCCGAAAATCAAAAAACCGAATAACAACCTCAAAGCCTTGAAAAACAAAAAAACCAATTAAACGGTGAAACCCTAAAAACAACTTCCAAAACCGAATGCCCCAAAACAATTTTTCCCCCCAAAAAAAAACCCTTCAGAATGAAGGTTCTTGGGATACAGTTTGGGGAACCTAGAAATAGAGAGGATGAATAATAAGGAGAGGGAGAAGTGTCCTTGAACTTCAGAGACTGGGGAAGACTTTGTCCCCTTACTTATTATCCACTCACCAAGAATCTACTGCACATGTTTTATGTAGTCAGTGCCCTTGCTTCATCGGGAGCTCCTTTTCACTGGGGAAATGACGCCAGAAGAAGTTGAATTTGGGCAAAGCCGACAACTTTAACAGCAAAATGGAGAGGCTAAAGCAGTGGTTCTTAACCTTGGCTGAACACTAGAATCATCTAGGGAGCTATTAAAAAGCCCATTGCCCAGGGCCAATTAAATGAACCTATCTGGGTACTGTACTCAGGCATCAGCATTTTTTAAAGCTCCTAGTTGATTCCGGTGTGCAGCCAACACTGACTAACCAACCTGGACTAAAGGGAATTTCTTTCTTCCCCTCCCGCAGGCCTTTAATCTTAGTCCAGCTGATTCAGACGGGAAATCAGATCCCTACGTTGTGATCAGGCTTGGCAAAACCGAAATCAAAGACCGGGAAAAATACATCCCCAAACAACTGAACCCAGTGTTTGGAAGGTCAGTGGCCACCTGGGCTGCACCATATCGTCCTTTTTGTGTTTACTGCTGCCCTGTTTCTGGGGCTCATGTGGCAGGTTGGTGTGTGCACGTGTGCAAGTCCGGGTAAATGGTGGCTGGAGGTCAAATGCTGACTTCTCTCTTGATAACAGCCAACCAAACCTGTATTTGTGGGGGAGGGCTAAATTCTCTCCTTGGTCCCCGCAGGAATTTGGTGGTACATGATGATCTTTGTGCCCCTGGTTTTCCAATAAGAATTTCCTAGATCTTAGATTTTAAGAGGCACTTTGAAGGGTTATTGGTTTTGGTCTCCTGCTTTTGGGAAGGTTGAGATTTCCTTTTTACAGAGAAGGTGGCTGAGGCACAGAGAGATTAAGAAACTTAGTCAAGATCACACAGCTGTATGTGAAGGAGGAAGGCTAGAAATTTGGTCATTTGTTTCCTACGAAGGGTTTTTTTTCCACCATATAGCCCCACACCTCGTTTGAGGTGACCCTTGAGGTCAAAAAGTTCAACTGTGTCCCTCAGTTGTGTTTTGCTTTCTTGCAAAGTGTTTTTAAACTCACGGTATTTGTGTATGCTTAGGTGGGCTAGGCCTTCTCGTTTACGGCAACCCTGCCACCCCTATTTTGTCTTCTAATAAGCTGTCACACATTCATGTTCCCTGCCTGGGCCTGAAGATGTCTGAGTTTGTGGCCCTCACTGCCATCAATTTTAGAGTCAAGCAGATCTGGGTTTCGCTTTGTCTCTGCCGCCTACAGGCTGTGTAACCTTACAGAGATGACTTGACCTCTCTGATCGCAGGTTCCTTCATTGGTAAAGCAGCAATAGTGATACCTGACTCTCAGAATCCTTTGGAAAATGAAACATGCAAAGCAGCTAGCACATTCTCTATGCTAGCACATAGTAGGTACTTGAAAGGCATTAGTTTCATCCTCCTCCCCCTTGATAGTCATTTTAGCAATGGATACATCTGAAGTGTATTTAACTTATTTTTTTCCTGAGTAATGAGGTGCATGGGAAGAAATCTCCATCAGCCTCATTTAAATTCATTTACATATTTGTGATCTCTTTAGACTGGCTGACATTTTCAGCACCAGCCTCTTATATTTTATTGCTCCTGAGGAAATGAGGAAATAAATGATCTCTCCTGTTCAGATTAATGAGAGTGATTAAAACATTACTGCCGGGGAAACTTAACTCGGGTGCCCCCGCACCCAGAGACGAACTTTATCATCACCTGCCGTCTATGTAACGAGCACTTCATTTTGTCAAGCGCTTAGCTATTTTCACCACAGTGCGTGACTTCCACTGGTTTTATTGCCTCTGTTTTACGGCCGTGGAAAACAAGCGAAGAGAATGATGAAATAGTCCCTCCTGCTTCTAGAATTGCAGGGCTTCTTCCGGAAGCCTCCATCTGTGGACACTTGGTTGGATGTGTAGTTAATTGTCACTCAGGAATGAAATTGCCTCCTAAATCCCGCAGTGCTCCAGCGGGGGAGGGCGGGGGGCTCTTGGGGCAGAGCCGGTGTCTGGGGGAATCTCTCTTCGTGGACCTCACTGCCTTGGTATTCCCATGAGGACATCACCGGCTCCACCCCCTTATGCCCTGGGTCGTTGCCCTGCTTTACTTTTCCTCAGAGCGTCTGATGTGTACCGATGTGTTTCTGCACTCATTGTCTGCCTCTGCTTCCCCCACTGGAACGTAAGCTCCTTTAGAGCAGCGATCCTCAGCAGCAAGGACAGAGCCTGGCACAGTGCAGGTGCTAAATAAGTATTTGTCGAATGAATAAATGAAAGAATGAATGAATGAACAAATGGATGAATGAGCCTGCAGTTAGTTGCCAGTGGGATGTATGGAACCCCTTGCCCTGGACCATCCTGAGGCGGTACACGCGCTACAGGCCTTGGCAGTTCTTCGTGTTCTCATGGATTCCTGGAATGTTTCCCGTTAACTCCATTGCCTTGAAAATTAACCATAAAGAAAAATGACGAGATCTGAGGACATGGTCTATGGATGGTTAAAGTAGTCCTGTGGCTCACCCTGCTCATCCACACCTACCAGCCTTTGTCCTCGCTGTGCCCCCACCATGATACAGCCTTCCTTTCCGTGTTCATCTGGAGAAATTTATTTATTCCTCACAATTATTGGGATCCACCATGTGTCAGGCACTGTGCTCAGTGGTCTACACCTTCAAGGCTTCTACGAATACCGAAGAGAACATTGACTAAATGGACAGTGGAGATAGAGTGTGGTAGGTCCCATGAGAACACATGGGAAGGCACCTGAGCATCTTAGGCGTGTCTGGGGTAGGTGAAGGACGAGGTTCCCAGAGAACAGCATGTGCAGAGTCCAGAGGAGAGGGGGAACGTGATGGAGCAGGAACTGGGGTTAGTTTACAAGGGCTTGCTTCTTCTAATCAGACAGTCATTCAGGTACTAGGCAGACTATGTGTCAGGAATGTGTCACAGTACAGGTATCATAAGCCCCGCTTTCATGGAACCTACAGGCTCATGGAGGAGGCAGACATTAACCCAAAAATTAAAAACCAAAAAACAAAACAAAGCAAAAGACAGCTGATGTCAAGTTGATTCTGACTCATGGCAACCCCATGTGTGTCAGAGGAGAACTGTGCTCCATAAAATTTCCAATGGCTGATTTTTCAAAAGTAGACCACCAGGCCTTTGTTCCAAGGTACCTCTGAGGAAACTCAAACCTCCAACCTTTTGGTTAGCAGCCAAGTATGTGAAGTATCACCAAAAATTAGACAAACATAAAATTGCTTGTGAGATGATCACTATAAAGGTGAGCTGCATGGTCCTTTGAACATGTATAATAAGAGAACTTGACCTGGTTGGGGTCAGATGGCTAAGACCAGAAGTCCCATACATACATCTGGAATAGGGAGAGCACCTATCTATGTTCAAGCTAAAGTATCATCCCTGTGAAACCTTCCTTACTTCTTTGCCCAGACAGATGTATTCACAACACCGTGCCCATAACTCTGTCTGAGCACCTGCTACCTCCTACTTCACCATTTTCTTATCTTCCTTCCCCACGGGTAGGAAATCTTGTTAGTCAGTTTTTAATAACTCCAGTGCCTGTCGCCTGGTACGTGCATAATAAATGTCAAATGAATGAATGAACGAGGAACAATGGGACAACATCCATGCTCTGAAGCTTGGAGACGATGAATGCTTTTCCCAAACTCAGTTTCTGCTCCTTTCACAATACATTCTCTTTTCTCAAACTGCCACTACAACTCCAGGCCGTATCTCCTTGGCACACAGTCAGTATAAGCCCAGGTTTGCCCTGAGTGGCTGCAAGTCCAACCATGGTGGGCTCTTTTTGGCATCTCTCTTAATGACAGGTCCATTAAAATTCAGGGAAGGTTCATCTGTGAGCACACAGCTTGAGGAGCGGACCAGAGAATCGCGTCCTCTGCTCAGTTGCCAGGGGCAGTTAAGCACTTAATAAGGCCTTGCTGGTTGGCAGCCGTGGAGATGGCAGAGCTCAAGGATCGGCCGCTGGGGGCTTCCTCATGAGACGCCTCCAGAATATCAGTTACAGTTTGGAGTCCAAACTGTAGGATTGCCCAGTGAAGGCAATCCTATGCCTCTGGATGGAAAGACACGTGGATTTCTTCCCCCCCGTAGCCGTATCCCTGCCCTGGCCTCAGCCGGTTACAGTCACTGGGCTGTCAAGCAAGTGTCTGTCTGTTCTCTTCGGGGAGGGCTAATTGGCTCCAGACAATGTGGTGGCTGCTGTACCCGCAGCAGTAGGGACCGAGTGTCAGGACAAAGTGGATCTGACCATGAGGACAGCAACCCAGACGGGCCGGGAAAGCATGAGCCCACGTTCTCCCTCCTTCCTTCTCCTCTCTTGTTCCCTGTTCCCAGCCCAGCTCATCTCACCCTGTCCCCAAGCTGCCAGAATCCAGAAGTACTAGAGGTGGCAGCAGGAGAAACACTGGTGTGTCCTTGCCTCTGTTTTCAGAGAGACATTTCCCGAAAATTCTGGGTTTCCCTCAGAATTGAATTCTCAGGTATCCTCTCGAATGTAGGAACTCATTGGTATGGTCACAGGAAATCCAACTGCACTGCTATTCCTTCAGACAGCTTGTGTTGGTGTGGCACGGTGGAAAGAGCACCAAACAAGGAGGCAGGATACTGGCACCTCGTCCCGGTTCAGCCTGCTTTATGATCCTGGGCAAGGCACACTTCTCTGGATTTCCATTTCCTTATCTGTAAGGTAGCCCTGGTGGTGTAGTGGTTAAGCACTTGGCTGCTAACTGGACAGTCAACAGTTGGAACCCACCAGCTGGTTCGTGGGAGAAAGATGTGGCAGTCTTCTTCCATAAAGATTTACAGCTTTGGAAACCCTATGGGGGCAGTTCTACTCTGTCCTACAGGGTTGCTATGAGTCAGAATTGACTCGACAGTAATAGCGTTGTTTTTTTTTAATTTGTAAGATGAAGGCATTGAATATGCTGAGTTCTAAGAACCCCAGGGTTCAAGCAAACCTTTATTAAGTTGTCTGCCTTCTGCAGTACAGGCTCCAATAATGCAGAGATGGAAAGGCAGGTCCCTGCTCTCGAGGAGCTCAGGGGCTTGTAGAGACAGCGCTCAGTCTGCAAGTCTATGTTGTTATGGTTTTCCATCCTCAGTAGAGTTTCCACTTAAAATAAGCACCGCTGGCATCCCCTGGTGAAACAACAATGGAAGGGAAAAGGAATGGCGATTTACTGGCCACCGGTTCAATGCCTGGCAGTAAAATGTGAGCTTTATATAAACAACATTGCATTTAACCACCATCCTACCTTATAAAGAAGACATATTTATTCCCATTTATGCATAAGGAGACTGAGAGGAATTGAATAACTGTCCCAAAGTTATACAACCAGGAAACTGAAGATTTGAAACAAAGATTGGAAATCTGCCTTTGTGACGCCAAAACCCAAGACGTCTCCTCTCCATCACCTTGTCGCCCTAGATGAAGACAGCAAGATATGGCCCCTGGGAGGGAAGATTATTGGCTATTGGAAATTGACAAAGGAATTGAAAATTGATTGAGTCTCAATGAAAAACTAAACCAAATAAAAGCCCACCAAGTCTTAACTGAGTTGCTGAGCATTTAGTGAGCTCATATAAACTGTTGTTGTTAGCTGCTGTGAGTCAGCCCCTGACTTGGCCCCTGGCTCATGGCCCTCATGCACAACAGGATCAGACTGTTGTGATCCAGGGTTTTCATTGGCTGATTTTTCAGAAGTAGATCACCAGGCCTTTATTCCTTGTCTGTAGTAGTCTAGAAGCTCCACAGAAACCTGTTCAGCATCATAGCAACACTCAAGTCTCCACTGATAGACGAGCGGTGGCTGTACTTGAAGTGCATTGTCAGGAATTGAACCCAACTTCCTGCATGGAAGGCGAAAATTTTACCACTCAACCACCACTGCTCTCTTCATATGAACCGTGTTGTTTTTTGCTGCCATCCATTTGGCTCCCGACTCATGGCAACCCCATATGTTACAGAGCAGAACTGCAATATAGGGTTTTCTTGGCTATGATCTTTACAGGAGCAGATTGCCAGGCCTTTCTTCTGCAGTGCTGCTGGGTGGGTTCAGTCTGTCAAACTTCTAGTTGGTAGCCGAGTGCAAACTGTTTGCACCACCCAGGGACCTGTGAACCATAAAAACCCAAAACCAAACCTGTTGCCATCGAGTCAATTCTGACTCATAGCGACCCTATAGGACAGAGTAGAACTGCCCCATAGGGTTTCCAAGGAGCAGCTGGGGGATTCAAACTGCCAACCTTTTGGTTAGCAGCAGTAGCCTTTAACCACTGCACCACCAAGCCTCCCTATGAAGGCTACCAAAAAGCGAAGTGGGGAAGGGTTCCCTGTGTTGGCAAACATGTTTGACTCCTGAAGCCTCTGTTTGGGTTGCAGGTCATTTGAGATCCAGGCCACGTTCCCGAAGGAGTCTCTGCTCTCCATCCTAATCTACGACCATGACATGATTGGGACGGATGACCTCATTGGTGAAACCAAGATCGACCTAGAAAATCGCTTCTATAGCAAACACAGAGCCATCTGTGGCTTGCAGAGCCAGTATGAGACGTGAGTTCTTTTTCCCATGGAAACATTGTTGGTGTTCCAGGCTTGGTATCCAGCCTTCAGGGCTCTGGATACTATGTCCCAATTGTCCATGTTCTAGGAAGGCCATGCAAGGCACAGCTTTAATAACTCAAACAGGCTCTGCGTCAACAGGGCTGGTTTGAAGAAACTTTGTTCAGTGCACTTCATTGTAAGTTAATTTTCAACTAAACAGCTAGTTTTTTAATGGAAGAGGGAGTTGGAAATATTTAGACACTCACCACCAGGAAAATCAGATTAGAGGGAAAAAAAAAAACACATCAAAACTTTCTGCCTGTGATGTCAGTCTATATGATTTTTAGGTGGGGGTAGGGGAAGAGGGAAAGAAAGAAGCAGAGAAATTGTAAGGATGAGCTAGGTTTTCCCCTTAGAATAAACGGCAGCTGAATGGCTGTCCTGCTAGGGACCAGAGAAAAACTGACTGCAAAGGATTTAGATGTCAAGCTACTTAGAAGTCCTACCTTGCATGTAAGCTGTGCATGTGCAGAGGTATTTAACTAGATTAGACAAGTATCCAGAAGAAAGGAAAAGGAATTTAAAACAAAAACGCTAGTCCCAACTGTTTGGTGCAGCAAGTTAAATCTGGTGGACAACGCATATCATGCCTGGGAAACCCTTTCAACGGAGAACTCAGAGTGAGTCTTCTCCAAGTGAGCAGTCAGCCCTCACCAGGTCTGTGTTTCCTTTATCTTTCAGAGAAGGATACAATGCCTGGAGAGACACATCCAAGCCCACCGAAATCCTCACCAAGCTCTGCAAAGACAACAAGCTGGATGGACCCTACTTTCGCCCTGGGAAAATACACATAGGAAACCGGGTCTTTTCTGGAAAAACATCCTTCACGGAAGAGGACGCTGGTAACTCCTCACAAAGCATCCTGTTGATGTTATTCTTTCTTTGAAAATCTGGCTTCTAGCAGTATTTGTGGCTAGCAGACTGTCTTAGTTATCTAGTGCTTCCATAACAGAAATACCACAAGTGGATGACTTTAACAAACAGAAATTTATTCTCTCACAGTCTAGCAGGCTAGAAGCCCGAATTCAGGATGCCAGCCCCAGGGGAAGGCTTTCTCTTTCTGTTGGCTCTGGGGGAAGGCTCTGGTCATCAATTGTCCCTTGGTCTAGGAGCTTCTCAGCACAGGGACCCCAGGTCCAAAGCACACACTCTGCTCCTGGCTCTTCATTCTTGGTGGTAGGAGGTCCCTCATCTCTCTGCTTGCTTCTCTCTCCTTTTATCTCTTGTAAGATAAAAGGTGATGCAGGCCACACCCCAGGGAAACTCCCCTTGCATCAGCTCAGGGCTGTGACCTGAGTAAGAGTGTTGCATCCCACCCTAATCGTCTTTAACGTAACCTAACCTTGCCTCATTAACCACAGGAAGAGATTAGGATTTATAAAACATAGGAAAACTATGTCAGATCATAAAATGGAGGACAACCACATAATATTGGGAATTATGGCCTAGCCAAGTTGACACATATTTTTGGGGGACATTATTCAATCCATGAAGGGGAGAGTGGGTCATCTAATTATAAAAGTAATGCATGCTTGCCACAGAAAATATGGAAAAGTAAGGAGGATAATAAAAATCACTCATACTCTCAAAATTCAGAGATAACCATGCTGAAATATTTCCTTACAGACTTGGGGTGTGTGTGTGTATGTGTGTAATAGGTCACATTTCTACATATATATGTGTCATATGCAGTTTTGTACCCTGCTATTTCTGGATTATCCTTTGTTCTTTGAAAAGATCATTAATAATGTTCCACTTTTTTGCTGTGCCATTATTTAATTAACCAATCTCCTATTTTTAGATATTTAAATTGTATCCATTTTTGTAGTGACAATTAATGCCACCATGAATTTCCTTATAAGTATTTTTGCACATTTCCGATACTTCTATAGTATAGATCATAGGAGTAGAATTTTTGCGTCAGAGGTAGCAATAGCTTTAAAATGAACCCTATACAATATAAATATAATTGGTATAATTGGGCACAACCCAAATTACCCCCATCAATGTTATACCAGTTTACTTCACTTCAACACCAAGAAACAGATTTTTTCATATGAGCGTCTTGCTACATGTCAGGAACAAGCCATACAGGCTTCTTGGGACAAACCATACAGGCTTCCCATAAATTTAGGATGAGGAAAAAAAAGCCACCTTTACTTTACTTCACAGGTACAGTACAATTTTTGTAATGCCACCCTCTCAATTTGGTGCTTAAAATTTTCTTTACTGTATATGGTGCTTGGAAACCCTGGTGGCGTAGTGGTTAAGAGCTACATCTGCTAACCAAAAGGTCGGCAGTTCAAATCCACCAGGCACTCCTTGGAAACTCTATGGGGCAGTTCTACTCTGTCCTACATGGTCGCCGTGAGTCAGAATTGACTTGACAGCAATGGGTTTGGTTTTTTTTGGTTTTGGTATATGGGGCAGGGCTTATGATGCAAAAATCCCAGTAAAGGACAGGGTATAAGATGTTTTAACGTACTTATTTTGATCCCACCACTTTGACACCAAGATTGTTTTCTCCTTGTTATTTTGACCCCAAGAACCATTTGAAGGTTCTTGTATGCAGTTATGGATATTCAGATGGTATGTTAATGACATACCGATCAATTTCTGTTGAGACAAATATTTTCCACCATAAACTCTACTAAGTCAGTTTAGCTCCTTGATCAACATTACATACCTCATGATTAAACAATTCTCATTTTTTTGCCCACTAAAAATTTGAAATTATCTTCATGAAGATCAAGTCCTGACTGATTAAAACTTTTTGACAAAGATTTAGTTCATTGACTACTTGTGTGTTTGTATCAAGTTTTACTGATTGTTGTTGGGAGATTTCTTTTTTGTCCCTGGACACAGAGATAGAGATTGAAATAATGAGAGAGAGACAGTGAGAGATAGGCAGACAGAATGAGGGAGAGAGGAAAGGAAGGAGCGAGAAGGTGAGAGAGAGAGAGAGCAAGAGTACTAAAGAGTGTGGAGTTTTTCTGGAGAATTAACTGCAAGGTGAGGTCAAAACAACCTCTGAAATCAAGATGGCAAGTCAGAATACTCTGCTTTGGTAAAATGACAGATCAGAGAATCTTTCCAGGGAGCAAGTATTGGCAGGAGGGAGTCCCAGGAAATAATGAGACAAGAGACATTCAAAGGGCAGCATAAACACATCTTGTGCCCAGTCCACCACCTTCCTCAGGGCGACCTCTGATTCCCCAGGCCCCTCTTGTGCTATGGCACTAGCAAACAAGATAGATCTCCAGGAAACATCTCCTGCCCAATACCTTGAAACCAAGCTTGTGCTTTGTAGATTCTGAGGAATCTACTAGTGGACCCATCTCACTTGCCTCTCTCTGCACTTTCCATCTCTTTCCCCTTCCCACCACTCTACCTCCACCTCTATCCATTCTTTTTCCCTTTTCTCTTTTGTTGCCTCTTTCCTTTCCTGGCTCCTCAGTATGTTTAAATTAACCTTTAAGACAGTCATTAAAAATCCATTGGCAGCTCATCACTATCTCCTTGCAGGACACACATCTAAGGAGTCTTCATTTTTCTCCCCTCCATGCAGATGAGATCGTGGAGTCCTATGAGCACTTGGCCCTGAAGGTTCTACACTCTTGGGAGGATATCCCGGAGGTTGGGTGCAGACTGGTTCCTGAACACATTGAAACTAGGCCACTGTACCACAAGGATAAGCCAGGAATGGAGCAGGTAGTGGGCAAGGCAGTCTGGCCCCACTAGCAGTGTTCAACCCCAAGGAATGTGACTTTTCTCCTAAAAGTTAATCTTGTGTGCTCCAGAGCAATGCTTCTCAACCAGGAGTGATTCTACCCCCCAAAGGACATTTGGCAAAGTCTAGAGACATTTTTAGTTGTCACAATTGGGGGTGGGTGGGCGCTGCTGGCATCTAGTGGGTAAAGGCCAAGTGATGCTGCTAAACATCCTACAATTCACAGGACAGCACTTCCATAACAAAGAACAATCCAGCCCCAAATGTCAATAATGCAAGGTTGAGAACCTTTGCCTGGGAGTCAGTGTAGAACACAGTGTTTTTATTTTTTTCCTTTTCATAATTTATCAAACTGTTTTGGAATAACTTTGACTTTTGAGAAAATTCAGTATCCATATGATATGCCTAAGACCTTGTCTAAAAGCGATTAGTAACCACACAGCCCACAGTTTTCCCACAGAAGCAATAGATGGGGATTTACCTTGAAGAGCTGGCAAGAAGAAGCTGTTTGAGAAAAAATGACTAGAGGGTTGGATTAGGAGTCAGAAGGGAAGAGAAGACAAACTTTATTAAGAACTTTCTATGTACTAGGTCCTTCACATCAATTATCTCTCCTGGTTAGGATGACCATATGATTGTTTATCCAAACAGGAGCCATTTTGAGAGTGAAAGAGAACACTCAAAATAATTCAGCTGACACAAGGGGCATATACCAGTATTCTTCTAGACAAATAAGGGTGTATGGGTCACCTTACTCTTATTCCTTAATAGAGCTTTATTATATAGTTATTATGATCATTATTTTTAAAATGAGAAAATCGAGGTTCAGGAAATTTAGCCAACTTCCTCAAGGTTATCCAGTTGGTAAATAGTAGAGCTGGATTTAACCCAGGTGATTTGAGTCCATAGCGCATGTTCTGTGAGTGGTCCACACACTCAAGTGAGGTCCCAGCTCTGGACTCACTGTGTAACTTGAGCAAAGCACATGAGCTCTATGTGTATTGGGCAGAACACCAGCTTTGCTATCTCGGCAGTATTGGGTGTGTTGTTATTAGGTGCTGTTGAGTTGATTCTGACTCATAGCGACCCCATGTGACAAAGTAGAAATGCCCTATATGGTTTTCTTGGCTGTAATCGTTACAGATACAGATTGCCAGGTCTTTCATCCATAGAGCTGCTGGGTGAATTCAAACTGCCAACCTTTCAGTTAGCATCCGACGGCTTAATGGCACCACCAGGGCTCCTTAGTGTTGGGTGTAGACCTAGTGATAACATGCAGTGGGAGCACCATGAAAGAGTAAATCATTATCAGATTTAAAAGCTTACGATTGCTCACTGGAGTTCACTACCAGAAATTTGAAATCTTGGTTACTGGGATGTTTCATTTTGCCCTCTGATACGTGACTTTTAAATTAAGGGTGAGTGTTATCTTAAGAAAATAAATCACCCCACTTTTCTCTAGGACTATAATTCTCCTTTGAGTTGCTCATTTTCTTTGCAAATGCTAAACACTTGCCTACATTGTCCCTTCCACGGGAAAGCCTTCCTTTATAACCACAGCCCCTCCCTCACCCAAATCCAACATTCATGTTGTGGGGGAAGCTCCACCTCCTTCATATAAATTCTCTTTGACCATCCAGCCCTTGTGGATCACTCACCTTCTTGCCTGAGCTGACAAGAGGTCTTAAACTATCTAGTGCATAGCTGAGCATGGAATTCTCTGGGCCTTATCTCCACATGGGCTCTTTAGCCCCTGGTAGCAGGGTAAAATCTTATGTGTGGAGTTTAAGGCAATGGGTGCGAGGCCCTGTTCTGCCACTCATTAGCCACAGGACTTCAGACAACTTCAGTGACCTCTTTGTGTCTCACTTTCTTTATACGAAGAACAGAAACACGGTTGTGGTGAATATTAAAGGAGATAAAGAATGTTAAGCTACACTGAAAACAATGATAAGTGATGCTTTCGACAGATGGTATTATTTGTGTAATCCTTGAGAGTTTGTTGAAACAGCAGGGTCAACAGACAAGGATTAAATCCAGACGCTGCTACATACTGACTGTGTAAGCCCAGGCAAGATGTTTACTCCTCTGCCAGATAGGAATAATGGCATCTACCCAATGGGAATATCACAAGACTTAATGAGATAATGTGTGTCACGTGCATAGCATTGTGTCTATCACATAGTAGATGCTCAATAAGAGTTTGCTTGCCCTTTTCCTGCACTTAATTTATGCTATGACTAATTGTTAATAAAAATTTAAGTTTGGTCTTTGTCAACAGATGTGCTACACATTTATAAAGCTACCAAGCTGTACCTAAGACCTATTTCTAGTAATCTTTTAAAACCATGAGCAGTCAATTGCCTGTGGTCTCCCAGTCACCTTCTCCCAAAGCTAAAGGAGGTCTTCTTTTCTTAACAAGGGCCGCCTGCAGATGTGGGTGGACATGTTTCCCAAGGATATGCCTCAGCCTGGACCTCCTGTTGACATTTCACCAAGGCAACCCAAAGGGTAAGTCAGTTGGACTCCTATTTTTCGAAGAAGAGACTGTGGTAGCATACTAAAAGATCATGACATTTGATCTTGTATCTGATTTGTTATATTAATTATTTGGCACTTGATAATCGTAGCTCACTTTCCACTCGGCCAGTTACAGCAGGGGCTGGGTGGTAGCAGCAGTGGTAGTGGTGATATTCAAAATGATGGCCCTTGTCTTATGGTAGGGGGTTCTGAGCTTCAAGTTCCTCATCTAAAAAATGTTGGTTGATGGAAGGAGGATCTGTTCAGAGTAATCTGTGTTCTTGGTGATTCTGAGGTCTCCAGTTGGGACACTTGGTTCTGATGGAACCAAGACCTTGAGTGTTGATATTTCTGAATTTGGCAAATTTGGGGAAGCTAAGGCAATACCAGAATCACATAGATACCAGTTCATTCCACTTTCATGTCTTCAACCTAATACTACCTCCTCTTACCGCAGATATGAATTGAGGGTGATCATCTGGAACACAGAAGATGTCATTTTAGAGGATGAGAATATCTTCACAGGACAAAAATCAAGTGATATTTATGTTAAAGGGTAAGATCATCAGCAACTCCATCCTCCCTTCTTTTTCCCTCCTTGCCTCTTTAATCCCTAACCAAATCTATTCCTCAAGGAAGATACTCTACCCTACATGCTACAAAAAGAGACCATCTTACTCACTTTGCTAGATGAAGTCACTTTCTTTTTCAAATATTTGTCTTATTTGGCCAATTTGCTAAGAATTATTATGTTATGAAAATACTGTCCATGGGCAAGTCTTAGTTTTTTCCTCTAATTCAATTAAATTCAACTTAAAACTTTTGAGTAATGTTCAAAATGTACCTATCATTTTAAATCTGAAAGGAGTGTTATTAATAAAAGATTAAGCTTTTGTAATGTAATGAAGTTTTGTAATGCTAAAGCTAAAATTTAGACTTTCCCATTGGCTAGTGTCATGGATTGAATTGTGTGTCCCCAAAATATCTGTCAACTTGGCTAGACCATGATTCCCAGTATTGTGTGGTTGTTCTCCATTTCGTGATCTGATGTGTTTATCCTATGTGTTGTAAATCCTAACCTCTATGATGTTAATGAAGCAGGATTAGAGGCAGTTATGTTAATGAGGCAGGACATAAGCTACAGGATTAGGTTATATCTTTAGTCAATCTCTTTTGACATATAAAAGAGAAGTGAGCAGAGAGGAGGGGGACCTCATACCACCAAGAAAAGTTGTGCCAGGAGCAGAGCATGTCCTTTGGCCCTGAGATCCCTGTGACGAGAAGCCCCTAGAACAGGGGAAGATTGATGACGAGGACTTTCCTCTAGAGCTGACAGAGATAGAAAGCCTTCCCCTGGATATGGCACCCTGAATTTGAACTTCTAGCCTACTAGACTGTGAGAGAATACATTTCTGTTTGTTAAAGCCATCCACTTGTGGTATTTCTGTTATAGCAGCACTAAATAAGTAAGACAGCTAGTTCTGATAAAAAGGATGCCATCTAGGAACCAGGGAACCAAGCATTTTACGTCACTCTCTTCCATCATGGCTCAGACACAGAATGCTTTTATAGGCTTCCTCTTAGCCTCTAGTCAGTGAGAAAGATGAGGTGGTAGAAAATCAGAGGCAAAAGTGATTTAAACTTGTACCCTAAGCTAAAACTCATCTTAGAAGTAGTAAACTCATCTCAGCCTCCTGCTGGTATCTCTTGGTTTTCCCTGAACAAGAAACATTCTTTCTTCAGAATCCACATTACCAACACGTTTGGCAGTCAAAGCACACCCAGTGGTTCAAATCTTCATTTCTCAGGATAAGAATACCAGAGTAAGTTATATATTACAAAAGAAGAGCAATAGAAGTAGCATGACAGAAAATAAGTAGACCTTTAGAAAACAGAATTAAGATCCTCCAAAATTGCTGTCTTATCACCAATTCTGGAAAGACAAGTATGTCCTGGAAAGAGGCGTTTTACCATGAGTCAAGGTATGGAAGGATTCTGGAAAGAGTTCATGTTGGGACTTTCAGAACTCTGGCCATTAAGTGTGTTGTAAGAGATGCTTATATTCACTCTCTCCCTTTGATACCCTCCCATTCACTTCCCTTCCAACTCCAATCTGGCTTCTGACCCCAACATGTCGTCTAAATCAGCCCAACTTTAGAGGCCTCCAGTCACTCTCAATGTGGTGGGAGATTTTGCTCTAACACTCCAGGCCACAGGCTGCACCCTTTTATAAAGAGGGCTCTCAGGGTGACAGGAAACTCCTCAGATTACACTTCCACTACACACTGAGAGAAATGGACAGACTGGAATTGTGTCCTCAGAGGTCCTTGGATACAAATTTCCTTCGTATTTCCTGAATGTTCCCTCTTTATTGCATGGGGCTTCAGGTCCACCCAAGAACAACTGGAGATACTTCCCCAACCTGGCTTGGAATGAGAAATCTTATTTCTGTTCCAGACCCTGTGAGATTTGCTATTTTCCTTTTACAGATACAATCAAAGCTTCAGTCTGAGCCTAACTATATAATGGTTTTTAAACTCTGAGCTGTGACCATATTGAAACTATTTAAATCAATCTTGGTAATACCGATGCCTGAGTAAGGTACTCTGAGGGTTAAATTTTCTCTTATCTTTATTCAGGTGGATAAAGGGCTTGGAAGACGACAAGCAGGAGACAGACGTGCATTACAACTCCCTGACAGGAGAGGGGAACTTCAACTGGCGATTCCTGTTTCCATTTCACTATCTCCCGGCTGAGAAGCAATTGGTCATTACCAAGAGGGAGAACATCTTTTCATTGGAGAAGACGGAGTGTAAGACTCCAGCTGTGCTGGTGCTCCAGGTTTGGGATTTTGAGAGGCTGTCGTCAGATGACTTCTTGGGTAAGCCATTGGCTCCATCAAGCACTCATGAGTCACCTGATGGCCCACGATAGTGTTAAGGGGTTAGTCCTGGCTGTGCAGGGAGCTTAGTCTGATTTAGCTATGAGGATAATAATTTCAGAGCCATTTATGATAGCAAAAATTTAGAAACAACCCAAATGGCCATTAATAGGGGATTGGCTAAATAAGTTATGGTGTATCCACATGGTGCAACACTGCAGATTCAGGCTGACTTAAGCTGATTTTTGCTCTGCCACTAAGAAGCTGTTAAACTTTGAATTGATTACTTGTCCACTGTATGCCTCAGTTTTCCTCAGCTGAAAAGTAGGGATAGTAGTATTACATACCTCAGAGGGCTCCGAGGGTGTGAAGTGTTAGGAGTTGCAAATGTGGTAATGCAACCAAAAAACTAAGTACAGTGCCTCACACATAGTAAGCGGTTGGTAAGTGATAACCCTGCAGTCATTAAAAATATTGTGGAATATTTAGAGGGCGAGCTTTGCCAGAACATCCATATATATTGGATGCAGGCCACACCCTCAAGGAAATTCCCCCTTTCAACTGGTTGGCTGCTCAAATCAGATCACAAAATGGCAGATGATTACATAATATTTGCCAAACCACTGAGAGTTATGGGCTAGCTAAGTTGACACATAGCCTTAACCATCACAGTCTGCCCCTTGTCAATGTGGCACCTGTACACATTTCCTTAAACTATACATAATCTCTAAATAAAGACTATTATATAGTCAAAAATATATATATTGGGATATTTAATGACTTGAAAAATTGTGTAGGATGTATTAAGTAAAAAAAGTAGTATGGACAAAACCCCCTTTCTGTAAAATATGTTTATACATATAGGAGAAAGTCAGAGACAAGCGAAGGAGCAGAGCGAGAAAGACCAACGTAGAACTAAACATCAATATGTATAGCAGTGGTCAACTTTGTGGACATGGGATTATGGACAATTTTTCCATTTCCTATTTTTTTACTTATATGCATGCTCTCAATTTTCTACAACTGGCAAATTTTACTTTTGAAATAGGAAAAAGTTTTTAAAGAGAGAGACATGTGTAGCTCTCCCATGGTGTGCATCTTACTCTGCCTTGTATTCACTCATTCAAAAACCATTTTTGGTTTGAGAAAGAACCCACTAAGATTCTTTCTGTGTCCTGGAAAGTAGATACAAAGACAGTAAGACGTAGTCCCTAACCTGGAGGACTTGACTGGACTCAAAATGGAAGGTGAGGTAGGGAGAAAGGCTCTCATAGGGGAGAGTGTGAAGGCAGGCACAAAATCTCAACTGCCTTCAGGAAGCAGAGATGGCACCCAGCAGTGGTGACCTCTGAACTGAGACTTGAAAATTAAATATTATATCTCTGCTCTTGTCTTCTACCCACTACCACATTATTAATACTTTGAGGGCCCCAAACATGTTTCAATCATATTTGTATCCATGGCTGTGGTCCAATATGGTGCTGATGGAATGATGAGTGACTGGGTGAGTGAGTGAGTGGGTGAAAGAGTGAGTGAGTGAATGAGTGAGTGAGTGAGTGGGTGGGTGAGTGAGTAGGCAAGCGAGTGAGTGAGTGAGTGGGTGAATGAATGAGTGAGTGGCTGGGTGGGTGAGTGGGTGGGTGGATGGGTGAGTGAGTGAATTAATGAATGAATGAGTGAGCGAATGGGGAAAATGATCAATTTTCAAAGCTCTTCCATAACTGCCATGGGCATCTCTTCACAGGCTCCCTGGAAATGAACCTCAATAGTTTCCCTAGAGCAGCCAAGTCTGCCAAAGCCTGCGATCTCAGCAAGTTTGAAAACGCAAGCGAGGAAAGCAAGATCTCCATATTCCAGCAAAAGCGTGTGCGGGGCTGGTGGCCTTTTGCCAAAAGCAAAGAGCTCACAGTAAGTGGCAGGCTGGAGGAGGTGCAGTGGGGCCAGTCAGCGGCCACCACGCTGTTTAAATGAGTCACTTTGTGAGTGTCAAGCCAAGAGTCTTGAAGTGACACAGAGCCTTTTAAGGCAAAAGTTCCGCTGAGAGGCAAGCGCTTTTAAAACTATAAATGCATTAAGCTTCCCATATTTCAGCATAATTAATTTAATAGCTCTCTATGTTGATTGAGGTGGTTATTTATCCTCTTGGCTTAAGCTTGTGCCCTTGACATTCATTTTTTTCACCATTTCTTAAAATTTTGCATGAAGTCCTGACTGATGTGTAATTTCAAGGTAACTCCTCGTCCCCTCACCCTCAAACACAAGACTCAGTTTAACAATTGATCGTCTTTTAAAAAAGTTTCCTCGAGAGGGTGATGGCAGGAAGAGCCATTTATCCCTTTCCGTCCATTGCCAGCTTGGTCCACGCATTGTGGCCTGGGTTGTAGGAATCGCTGCCTCTTCACAAACATTGGGAAGAAAGTTTCTTCTATTTCTTCTTCCACCCCCCTCATTACTCTTCTCTAAGGGAGGAAGGGCGATTTAATGATTGGTGAGGTAGACAGAAGGGACCAAGACCGCATAGATGTGCTCTTTTCTCTGCCGTTGACCTCCCCGTGGGCAAATGCATTCTCCTCTCTACCCCTAGTGCCTTGTGGCGGTACCCCTGGCTCCGGCCCCTGCGGTAGCAGGTCTGGACCCGGTTGCTGTTGAGTCAGTTCTGACTCATGGCGACCCCGTGTGTGTCAGAGTACAACCGTGACCCATAGGGTTTTCAATGGTTGATTTTTTTGAAAGTAGATCGCCAGGCCTTTCTTCTGAGGAGTCTCCAGGTGGATGTGAACCTCCAGCCTTTCAGTTAGCAGCTGAGTGTGTTAATTATTTTCACCTCCCAGAGACTCCAAAAACCAGTTGACGTCAAGTCGACTCTGACTCACTGTCGACCCCATGTGTGTTCAGGGTAGAACTGTCGTGGCTGTTGTGCGCCGTTGTGTTGATTCCTACTCATAACAACCTTATAGGACAGAGTAGTACTGCCCCATAGGGTTTCCTGGGCTGTAAGCTTTACGGGAGCAGATCGCCAGGCCTTTTGTCCCTCGCAATCAATGGTGTGTTCAGTTAGCAGCTGAGCACTTAACCTTTGCACCACCAGGGCTCCTTAGAGTAGAACTAGAGACCCACTTATCTCTCACCCTGCTCTAGGGGCCCCATGGGTGCAAGGCAGGAGATTCTGTTTGTCCCTGGCTGGGTAAGTGGCAGCTGCTGCCCCAACTCCAGGGTGTCTAATTTTATTATTTTATCTGGGGCTTTTTCTCTTCCCCTCCATTCTCAATTAAATCCCCTTTGATTGGTGAGATTGAGTAGAGAGACTGAGGCTCCAGGCAGCTCATTCTTCCCAGTCCTCCCAAGTACTTCCTGAGGGTTTGCTACAGGCCAGCCTCTGTGCTAGGTCCTGGGCTTCAGTGCTTAGCACATATTACGTACTCATTGCTGGATGAATGAATGAACTCAGAAATGACTTAGACATGGCCTCTACCTTCGACAAGCTAGAGTCCAGTGAGAGGGCTAAATGTGTCAAGAATCCAGTCATCCATGAAATAATCCAAGTGTAGGTAACACTTCATGCTTCCATAGCTCTCATTACACTGATTTATAATTATTTGTGAACCTCAAGGCTCTTCTGCTGTGAGCAACCTGAAATCAAAAGGTGAGTTTCCTCTTTCAATTCCTTTTCTGAATTTGCAGTGTTTAATATGGTGCCTGGCACGTGTTGTTGTCACTTACCTTTGAATCGTCTCCAACTCATGCTGATCTTACATATAACAGAATGAAACATCTCCCGGTCCGACGCCATCCTCATAATCTTCAGTATGCTTTAGCCCACTGGGGCAGCCACTGTGTCAATCTACCTCATGGAAGGTTTTCCTCATTTTCACTGACCCTCCACTTTACCAAACATGATGTCCTTTTCTACTGATTGGTCTTTCCTAAAGACGTGACCAAACTAAGCAAGACGAAGTCTCACCATCCTTGCTTCTAAGGAGCATTCTGGCTATACTTCCTCCAGGGTTGATTTTTCCATTCTTCTGGCACATGGTGAACCCGTTGCTGTCGAGTCGATTCTGACTCATCGCAACCCTATAGGACAGAGTAGAACTGCCCCACAGAGTTTCCAAGGAGCCGCTGGTGGATTCAAACTGCCGATCTTTTGGTTAGCAGCTGAGCTCTTAACCACTGCGCCACTAAGGCTCCCTGGTACATAGCAGATACTTAATAAATATTTATTGACTGAATAAATAAATTCAGGAACAATTAAGATATTGACCATACTATCAATATGATTATATGGTTTCCTTCTCTGTATATTCAGTCTGCTTAAGACATCGGAGTACTAAGTAAATATCTATTGAATGAATGAACACGTTAGCTTGCACTGGTTTATGAGACGGTCACCTTGTCCCTGGGTGATGTAAATAGTTCATGCACTCAGCTGCTAACCAAAAGGTTGGAAGGTTGAGTCTACCCAGAGGTGCCTTGAAAGAAAGTCCTGGCAAGTTACTTCTGAAAGATCAGCCATTGAAAACCTTGTGGAGCACAGTTCTACTCTGTTTTAAGTGTCACTTCAGAGGCCAGAAAGCAAGGTCCTGGAGAAGTAGGACAGAGGACAGGTAGCTTTTGATGGTGGAAGGATCAAAGAATACAGATAGGTTGTCTGGGGACACAGGGGTGAGTGGATGAAGGCCCCGTTAGGCAGTGACAGTCTGTTTTCCTAGGCTGGATTAAGACCAGTGGAAGCATTTGGGCTCATGATCTGATCCCTGCCTGCTAGGTAGTCAGAGCAGCGGTAATTTCCACAAGCTCCTCCTGCTGTCTGTGCCGAGAGCACCGTGCCCTGCATCGCCAGAGCTTGGGTAGGTCAGGTTGTTATAGTGATTGGAGTGCATTTATCGAATCATTTTGTAACAGCTGGGCCTTAATGGAGACGTTTATGTGGGAAACTTACTTTCCAGTTTGATTGACTTGAAGCAGTTTCTCTGTCCTTGCATTTTGAAGACTCCATTAGCTTCCCGTCTGTCTTGAGTCCCATGGGGGCAAAGCCCAGCAGTCACCCAGGCCAGATGGCCTCTTGCATTCCTATCATAAGACAGGAGCCTTCTTCATGAGTACGTGCACATTTTGGATAATTCGGGATCCCACAGAGGGCTTCTGTGCATCAAAAAATGCATTGTTTAGGTGAAAAGCTTTCCGGGTCCCCTCAGGAGTATAATGGGTAATGATGAGAGGGCTGGACGGCAGTCCAGAATGGCCCAGTGTGTTCAGGTGGACTGGGGTTCAAAGCCGGCCCCGTTACTGACCAGCCGTGTGGCCTTGGGCGACATACTTTACCTCCCTGAGCCTCAGGTTCCTTACCAGTGAAATAGAGAAAATGAAAGTCTGCACCTCATGGAGCTGCTGGGAGGCTTAAATGAAATAGAATTTGGGTACCAAGTGGATGGCCCCATAGTAATATGGTGTGAAATGGAAAACCTCTGCCTTGCTCTGCCACTCCCTGGAGGATGTCCTGTCTCCAAGTCTCAGTCTCCACGTCTGTAAAATCAGTGGGTTGGACTCGAGGCCTCCAAGGTGCCGTTTTCCAGCACAGACATTCTCTAATTCCACCTCCACCTGGACTCTCCTCTTGGCCTTTGAAGCCAGCGGCTGGAATGTCACTGTCCTCTGGTTCCAGTCACCAGCAGGCCAGAAGGGGTTTGTGAACAGAGCTGCCACCTGCCTGGCTTATTTTTAAAGCTGCTTATCTGCACGCCCGAGCAGTGTCCTTTAGACATTTGGATCACACAGCTTCCAGTGCAGAAGGTGCTTCCCTCAGAGCAAGTGAGAAACAGCTCCGCTGGGATTGCCAAGGAACAAGGACTCTTGGGGAAGGAAAGGGAGTTTGTATCGAATGTGTTCTTCTCTGATAATGACAATGCACTACACTTTTTACATGCTTTATCCCAATTAATCGGACTCCCAAGAGCAGTCCTCCAGGAAAATCACCCTCGTAGGAGATAGAAATCAGGAAGGCTCTTTTACAGGTTAATCCCTCTGGCTGACAGCTAGCCCAGGTAAGTCCCTGGGGCATCAGCAACCGCAAGTAAAAGGGAGGTTGCTGTGCCGCCAGCTTAGCGTGAAAAACAGCTGTCAGCATCTGCCGTGGCCACGCACTTAGGCGCTAGGCAGGAAGGGTTCAACACTAAATAAGACAAATTCCTGGCATCCAGAAGGCCACAGCTTAGTTGAGGAGGCTGGAACACAGGCAGAGAGTTTAAATAGCGTATGGCAAATGCAGAGTCCCTAGTAGCAGAGGGAGAAGGTATGTTCATGTGAAGAGTATTTTTAAGATAAAATGTATGATATGAATTTGCAGGAAATTTGCAAGACAGAAGAATGTAGACAGGAAGAAATAGCAGCCATATGCACACCAGCCAAAGAAAACACCGATAATGTTTGGTTATTCCCAATAGTTTTTTCTATGTATAGATTTTGGTTAATGTTACATAAAAAGTTCATTTGCCGTTCAGTCAATTCCGACTCGACCTATAGGACAGGCTAGAACTGCCCCATAAAGTTTCCAAGGAGCGGCTGGTGGATTCAAATTGCTGAGCTCTTAACCATTGCACCACCAGGGCTCCAATGTTACATAGTAGTGATCATTTTATATCTAAAATATTGTAGTCTTCATTTTGTTCCACTCAGTCAGTGTTATAATTAGCATTTCCTGCATTCTATTATTACTATTAACTCTTCATATTCTCAAAATAAGATGCCAGAGTTTAATCATTGTATTTTTCCACAACATTTATTGATTTAAAATATTTAAGCATACAGAAAAGCATATATTTTACCATATTTATTTTGTCTGTATATTTGAGTGTATGGATGTATATATGTATGAATGAATATATATGTATATATGTATATGTATGTGTGCA